AAAAAAAAGCGAGAGTTTTTAACTTTTGAGACGCTTAAATTTGCAGAGAATATGTCATACATTTTGCTTATAATCATTTACTGTGTCATAGAGTTTTGCTTATAAACGCTCATGACAAAGCCTCAAAATCCAATTTTTTGCTGGTTCTTTCTTCCGTATAAATTTGAATTCTTTATCATTTCTTATGAATGTGTTGCAGCTGCAAAGCTTTCGATCGAAGAATTTTATCAAGTTGCACCAACCGGGAAATTACATGCGGCAGATTTATTCCACAGACATCCGGAACGAATAGCTGGTCAGTTTTTCGCATTTCTTTTTTCCCCAGGGGATTTATCACAGTTTTTCATATTTTGTCGCAAAGAATATGCTTTTTCCCCGTAAGAAAATGAATACCTGGAATAAATCGTAGTATTGTTCACCATCTAAGCAGTTAGCTTCTTTTTCCAGCTGTTCTAATCAGTACAACGTCTCTTGGGGATCCTGTACGTCCACTTTATCTTTTCTAACCGTAATTTTTCTCAAAATTGGATTACTAAACGAAAAAATGAATATACCTATTTTTCCGCATATATAAGAAATCCGCATCCTTAGGTCATTTAATAATTGATGTGAATAGATTTGTTTAAAATTTTCTACATACTGCTCGGGATTATATGTAGTGAATCACTGTAATAGAAGTCTGAAGGGTAGGAGTTTCTCGCTTCTGAAAAGTTTGGGAGGATTAAATTATTATTATAATACTTTGCAAATAGAGAAGAAATTGTGTTTTGTTTTTAAACCGTCCTTAATGTGAAAGCGAATAAAACCAGGAAGTTAATGAGGAGAAAGAACTCTTGATTCGTTCCAAAGTGCGTGACTTCTCAGGAAGAACAAATGGGTTTTTGTTTTGCAAATGTTCTTTTACTGATGAATTTTCAGGATCAAATAAAATTACTCCCTATTTGGAAAACATTAGTACTGGTGAGTCAATGTCCGGAAATCAGCATGGGCCACAACCATCACCAAATTTAGCGATGCCCCAGAAATCACCACATGTAAGACGAGCAAAGTGGCATCTTGGAATAAGAAGCCAAAGTCGGCCTGGTAAATTTTTATCATTCT